TTTTCCCAACGCGTGTGCGCGTGTACCATTTGCGCATTTTTCCTCAATCCTCTTCTGAATTCAATTCCCCTTCAAATCTTAAGTATTTTTTGCCCTTTTTACCCGTCAAAATCTATAAGTTTGTTAAAAAATGAGATGAAAACAAAGTCGAGTAAATGGGAAAATGAAAAAGAGCTTTGAGACTGAGGATTTTGTTTACTCGACACGAGAAAAATGAGATTGCGAAATCGAGAAAAGCGCTGAAAATTCGCAAAATCGTTTATCAATTCAAATGCCACTGATTGGTAGACAAAAGGAAACGATTTTAGGTTTTTTTTTTACTTTTTTACTGTTTGCCCTTTGTGCTTTGAATAGCTCGTTTTGTTTGCTTTTTGAAAAGTTTCCAATTCTAAATTTATAAACATTTAAACTTTTGAGACTGATTTAGTGGAATGCAAGTATAGGCTAAACTTTGGAAACTCTTGATCCTTATTATAATGAAATCCATAATACTTTTTGAATGGAAGATTTTGAATCTAAAGATTTTGAATCTAAAGATTTTGAATCAATTTCGAATCTAAAGATTTCGAATCAAAATCTCAACCCTAGAGCAATATTGCTCATTCACTAGCAGATCATTGACCGTTTACCATTCAAACAATAGCTATTCTTAAAAGAAACTCCTAAACAAAATGTTCAAAAGAGAAGAGAAACTTGAAAAGAAAAAAGAAAAAGAAAAGAAAAGAAAAAGAAAAGAAAAGAAAAGAAAAAGAAAAGAAAAGAAAAAGAAAAAGAAAAAGACGTCATGAACACACTCGAGAATTGGTGAAGGGAATGGGGAAAATGAAAACTTTGCGGGTTTCGAGGCGAAAATTAGAGAGATATTGTCCCCCATCCCCCCTCCCATAGTGACTCAGATATGAAAAATCTCTTTGATTCACATTTTTGTCAAAAAATTTCTGATCAATCCCTGTTTTTTGTTTTTGAAAAATGACACTCGGGGAGAATTTATCTCTCCGCAATCCTCGATTTCTTTCTAGAAACTGAAAAATCATGTCTGAGCTCAGGGAAAATGAAACACTTTCTCATCAGATTCATCTTCAAAATCACTCAAATTCCTTTTATGAAATAAATATATGGATGAAAGTCATAGTTATCAAATATTCCCGAGAAGAAATTCCCTAGAGATCTTTTTCTTTCGCTTTTCTTAGCTCAAGTTATCCTCTTCATCTGGGGCGATGGGTTTGGGTCTTTTTTTGAGAGATGAAAATATGAAATTCAATCGACATCCATACCAACTTCATAGTTTTTCTTTTTCTATTTCTATATTTATATTTATATTTATATTTTACAATATTTTACAATATTTTATACTCAAAGCATACCACCTACCACGTTTTTAGCTCAATAAATCACTGAAAAAAACTCAAGAATTCAGTACAGCAGAAGGAGTTGGTTTTTGCCCTAACAAAACCAAAAGCTTTGATTGATTTTAAATTCTTTTTTTTGAGGTCTTTATTTTCAAATTTTGTTCTCTTTTTTCTCTTTCTTTCTCTTTCTTTCTCTTTCTTTCTCTTTCTTTCTCTTTCTTTCTCTTCTTTTCAATATGTCATATGATGCCCTTTTGTGTGTGAGTCACAAAAGAGAACACAAGGAAAATCAAATGTACCCAAGGATTTCTTCGTACTTTCTGCTGTCTACTTCTTTTCCCCGCAATTCTTTTCGCACCCACACCTTTTCATCCTCAAATAATCGAAAACGTAATCGAAAAGATAAAAATAGACGTCCCTTGAAAGTCTTAAAGTGACCATTTTGTTGACCCTTTAAACAACGATTCCCAAATGATATCATATCTTTAAATTGTGATCTTTCATTCCATTGCTAAATTTTGCTCGAATTACTCATCAGAAACATTGATGTTTTTCCTTGAAAATCCCTTGAAAATTAATTATTTTGGAAAAAAACAGCTTTCCTCAAAAAACTATCAATTCCATTCAAAAAAAAAAACATCTGCTTAGTTGAGGGGAAATATTGAAATTAAAAAGCGCTTTAAGTGAGATTCTCGTTTAAGAAAGAATATTTCAAAAGAAGCAAATAAAAAGCGATAATCTAGAAGAAAAAGAAAGTTTTTATATAGATCATTGTTTTTATAGTTTTTATGTATAGTTTTATATAGTTTTTATATAGTTTTATATAGTTTTTATATAGTTTTATATAGTTTTTATATAGTTTTTTTTTATTTTTTTTATATTTTTTATTATTATATTTTTAATTATTTTTTTAATTTTTGTTTTATTTTTTATTATATTTAGTTTTTTTATAGTTTTTATATAGAGCATTGTGCCCGAATTTTTGTCAAAATTGACAAAAGGCAAAATCGATCTTTTTGAAAGGTATATGTATCGAATGGTGCGTTAGACAGCAAGCGTTTCATCAATTTTACGAAGAGCTGCTGAAAAGTGGTTTTGCTTATCAATTTTGAAAAAATTCGAATCTAATGATCTAAAGCAATGAACCAGATGCCAGATGGTCAATTAACAATCGATCTTTAGCACTTTTGAAAAATTGATTACTAGACCCTGAAAAAAGTAGACCCTGTAATTTCATCAAAAAAAACAGACACTAGAGCGATGATCTCATCGAGAAATCAGAGGTATTTCAACAAATCTTTTCATGAATCTGAGTGATCTCGGGAACGAGCAAGTCTATGGGAAAACTCAATTTTGAGGTGGAAGAGGGGAAAGGCTGGAGAGAGAGAAAGAGAGAGAGGGAGAGAGAGAGGAAGAGAGAGAGAGAGAGGAAGAGAGAGAGGGGAGAGAGGAAGAGAGAGAGAGGAAGTGAGAGAGAGGGGGAGAGATGTGTGGGTGAGTCACCCAATAAAAAGGAGAAAAGGGAGCTGTGTGGATCGATTGATCGAACTTGTCTCTGTGTCTCTTCCCATTCGCCTTCCCTTCTCATTCTGTCATCTATACTCTTTTTTTTCGCCTTTCTCTTTTCCCCACAACCATCCCCATCATCACCCACAACTACAACCTCCTCTTCACTCATTTTCACCCATCGAACGTTAGCTATTCTCTGGTTAAATCTGCTTCATCAATTAGCTATTTCTGTGCATTTCTTATTGCTATTTGCACTTATTACTATTTGCAATATGTCTCGTTTCTTGGATTATTGAAAAGAGAAGCCTTTGATTATTGGTAAGGACCAGAATCTAGTTTCGACTAATAAAACTAGTTTCGACTTTGTGCTTAGTTTATGCTCCAGCACTTTCTGTACACTTTCTGTAAAGATTTGTGGAGAAATCTGTTTTCTTTAACAGATTTCTTCAAAACATACTAATTTTATTATCTTATTTCCTTAAAAAGATCTTAAAATAGCTCTTAAAATAGATAACAATTGTCCTAGAAGGCGCGTGTTTTTGGGGAAAGCGACTGGGTTGAGAGTAGAATTTGAGATTTTAATTCAAATAACTAAAACAATCGATTGGAGAATCTATAAATATATTAGCTTTTAAAATAACAAAGAACTCGTTGGGCATAAAGAAGACGAAGAAGAAGAAGAAGAAAAAGAAGAAAAAGCAGAAGAAAAGTCGCTGAAGGAGACACATTTGATTAGTGCTAAGTGAAGATGGGTGAATCCTTTCAGCTTTCCTCCCATCCATTCATTCCCCCTTTTTTGCTTCACATCAATTCTAAAGATATATCGTTTATTCGTATTTTATTCTATCATCAATCAAATTTAGTATAATATTTATTGGATATTTAAAGATCTAAATATGAATCTTCATTGAATTTCATTGAATTTCATTGAATTTCATTGAATTTCATTGAATTTCATTGTTTATTGAATTTCATTGAATCTTCATTGAATTTCATTGAATTTCATTGAATTTCATTGAATCTACATAAAGATTTCCGCAAAATTGGGTGAATTCGCCGAGAAAATTCGCCTTATTCAATCGTTATCGCTAATTTTAGTCATTTTATTTTCCTTTTTTTTTTCCTACTCTTTCTATTCTTTCTATTCTTTCTATTCTTTCTATTCTTTCTCCCAAAAATTCATCAATCACTTTACGAAATTCGTCTCATTTCAGCTTTCCGATAAACAAACTCTTTGCAAGTTGGGATTTTTGTTGAATTTTTTCATAAAAATAAAAAAATTCAACAAAATTAAGTGACAAAAAAAGTGCATTGTGTATTTCTAGTGAATGAGAGATTTTTCTCCCATAAAAAACGATCGAAAAATGTGAAGGGAAAAATGGGGAAAAGAAAGGAAAGCGAAATTTGGAAATTGCGAAATATTGCCTCGGAATTTTCTCTGCTTTCTGCTTTGAAAATCTGAAATTTCGAAGAGATATGACGAACGACTTTTTTGGATATTGATTAACCTTATTATATTCGGTTTTCCAATAAGTAATGCGTGTTTTGACACGCTTTTTCAAAATATCACAAAATTAACAAAAGAGAACTTTATTAATCGATATATTCTCCACAACAATCAATAACATTTCTCCATCGTCCGAGCAAAGAGTGAAGTCCGTCATAATAGAATGAAGCTGGTTTCGATGAGTAACATCGAAATAAGTAATACGTGTTACTTATTGGACAACCAAATATTATATAAATACTTTATTTAGAAAAAAAAATAAGAAATACATTGAATCTTTGTATTTTACTTTGTGCTCGAACAGAATTTGATATCTCTTTATTAATAGAATTTTGACCATTGAGCAAAAATTCAATTCAATTATCAATTGAGAAAAAAATTCGAAAATAAATTTGCCAGAAGATTTTGTGCGTACAAATGCACAACGTCTAGAGTACAAATTCGAATTTTCTTTTTTTCGTTACCCCAATTCTAAACGTTTTTTTTTGATTTTCGATCAAAAACCCAGTTGATTATTCAAGCCGATTTGGAAAGAAAATTCAAACGGAAAAGGGTTTTCGACAAAAAAAATAGTTTAATATTTGATAAAATGTACATAGATTTCTATTTTTTTTACTTAATTTTTCAAATTCCAGGTGGCTTCAATTCATTCCGCAATCACTATCCGGAATTGTGTGAGAGTTCGACCCTCGAACCCCAAACACAAGGTGAGGGGAAAAGAGAACAAGCTCAAGTTTAGAATATTAAATTGATTTTATTTACATCGAGACTGAATCTAATAATCAACTGAACTGATAAATTGATCTGTTAAAATGATCTCTTCTATTTTGAATTGATTTACATTGAGATGGAATTGATTTACATTAAAATCCAATCAAATAATCTCTGATCTGATAAACTGATCTGATAGATTGGTCTGATAAACTGCTCTCTTCCATTTTGAATTCATTTACAGTAAGATCCAATCAAATAATCTCTGACGCTGACTGAAGATTGGTCTGATAAACTGCCCTCCATTTGATTCATTTACATTAAGATCTACCTGTCGAAACTGATCTGATAGATTGGTCTGATAAACTGCTCTCTTCCATTTTGAATTCATTTACAATAAGATCCAATCAAATAGCCTCTCATCTGATAAATTGATCTTATAAACTGCTCTCTTCCATTTTGAATTCATTTACATTAAGATCCAATCAAATAATTGCTAAATTGATCTGAGATCCCTTCAATATTGAATTCATTTACATTAAGATCCAATCAAATATCTCTGATCTGATAATTGATCTGATAAACTGATCTCTTCCATTTTGAATTCATTTACATTAAGATCCAATCAAATAATCTCTGATCTGATAAATTGATCTGATAAACTGATCTCTTCAATATTGAATTCATTTACATTAAGATCCAATCAAATAATCTCTGATCTGATAAATTGATCTGATAAACTGATCTCTTCCATTTTGAATTCATTTACATTAAGATCCAATCAAATAATCTCTCATCTGATAAATTGATCTGATAAACTGATCTCTTCAATATTGAATTCATTTACATTAAGATCCAATCAAAGAATCTCTACTCTGATAAACTGATCTCTTAAATTGATCTTTCAAATTTTCAGGTGTGGTTGGTGGTGGAGGGATGTCGAATTCTTCATTCATCCCCGGTGCTTGTTCACTTTCTTCACGTGTTTCCCTTTCTCAACCATGTTTACCACATGGAACTGATGGACCGACTCAAATTCTTCCATTTTTATATCTCGGTTCACAGCAAGATGCTCTCGATCAGGAGACGTTGAAAGTAAGAAAATTTTGCGCAAAATGGAAATGTTTATCGTAAACTTTAAATGATAATCTTTAAGACACCGAAATCTTTCTACAAAGATATAGATAAAATAGCATATTTACATTTACTTTTTGTCCTTTCTACCGCAAATCATTTAAACTTCTCTACAGTAATTTCTTTTCGTTAATAAGAAATTTAATGGAAATAATCGAAATAATAGAAATAATCGAAATCCTAGGGTTTCTAGGAGCGATCACAAAAATCACACAAAATTTTGTGATGTTTTGTTGAAATCTCTATGTACCCAAGCCAAAAAATGATCGAAAAAAATGAAACTCTACCGAAAAATCAACAGTTTTCTCTCATTTTTTTTCCCTTTTCCCCGCAAGAAAAGTATGAGTCATTTTTCTTTTCGGAAAAACAAAAAAAAAACAAATTTGATTGATTGAACTCAAATTTCTCTCGAATTTAACTTTTTATGGAAGACTTTGATCAATTAAAGATCAATCGTTTATTGTTTATTTGTTTAGGTTAATCTAGATTTTTATCTACATTTAAACAATCGTTTGTTATTTGTTTGTTTAAGTTAATCTAGACTTTATCTACATTTAAACAATTGTTTATTGTTTATTTGTTTAAGTTAATCTAGATTCTTATCTACATTTAAACAATCGTTTGTTATTTGTTTGTTAAGTCTAGACTTTATCTACATTAAACAATTGTTTATTGTTTATTTGTTTAAGTTAATCTACCTTTTTATCTACATTTAAACAATCGTTTATTGTTTATTTGTTTAAGTTAATCTAGATTTTTATCTACATTTAAACAATTGTTTATTGTTTATTTGTTTAAGTTAATCTAGATTCTTATCTACATTTAAACAATCGTTTATTATTTATTTATTTAAGTTAATCTAAATCTTTATCTACATTTAAACAATCGTTTATTGTTTACTTGTTTAAGTTAATCTAGATTTTTTTTAAATCTCAAGAAATTTGTTGATACTTTGTGATTCATTTTGAGACAAAAACATTTCCAGGAAGCTTTTAGTCAAAACAAAATATCGTGTAGAAAAGCGAGAGATTTGAAAAATTCGAGACGAATTTATAAAGATAAAAATGGAGATTGAGAGCTGTAAAGGAGGAAGAGTTCTTTGCAAAAACTTTTTGCAAAACAAAACCCCTAAAAAGGGAGTGCCCGCGATTCGAAATCGGTCCTATTTTTGGGGATCTTTTTTTTCAAGTCGATTTCCCCCCTTGTTTTCCAAAAAAAAGTGGCTCCAATTGTTTGCGCAGAATCGTTTCCAGCAACAACAAAAAAAAAACGGGGAACAAAAAGGCAAGATTGGGGAATTGGATTGGGATAATGTAGAAATTTAAAGAAAAGAAATCCCCCCCCCCCCCCCAAATTAGCAAATTTAATTTTCATTCATTTTCCAGAAACACAACATCACCTATGTGCTGAATTTGTCGTTGACTTGCCCGAAATCGGATATTCTTCAATCGGATGAACATTTCATGCGAATACCCGTCAATGACAATTATCAAGAGAAACTCTTGCCCTATTTCGTGCAAGCTTTCAATTTTTTGGGTAAGTCTTTTGAAAAACTTAAGGAAAATCCTTCTATCTTGAAGTAAGTAAAGTAAGTAAGTAAAGTAAGTAAAGAAAGTACTTTCTTTATAAGTAAAGTAAGTAAAGAAAGTACTTTATAAGTACTTTACTTATTTATAAAGTACTTTCTTTATTTACTTTACTTATAAAGTACTTTCTTTACTTACTTACTTACTTACTTTCTGTACTTTCAAATCAAAATTGAAACTAAACCTTTGACTTTATTCTTTTTTCAGAAAAAGTTCGTGAACGAGGCGCCGTTGTGTTAATTCATTGTTTGGCTGGGATTTCTCGTTCTCCAACCGTCGCCATTTCATATATAATGAGACACAAGAAAATGGGATCCGATGAAGCGTATAGGTGAGTGGAAAGGGAAAAAAATTGTGCTCAACAAGAAATAACAGTTCGATAGCAGTTGCCATATTTTCTCTAATAGTAGTGCACTCGAAATCTCGAACAATCTAAATTCCTCGAAATCTCGAAAACCGCTGATCAGAACCTATTGATGTGGGGGAAAAAAAAAAAATGATTTCCCTCAGCGAGATCACAACCCGCCCATAGGGGAGTGGTGCGAGAACCAGGGGGGGGGACGGGGCGCCAGCCCCGGGGGGGCGACCACCCCCCCCCCCGGGCCCCGGGTCGGAAAATGTAGCTGACAATGAGATCTTGCTCGGGATTCGAGTGTTGAGCTTCTGTGAAAAATTTGAAACCGCAAAAATAGTCAACAACTCGGCGGGGAAATTGGGTAACCACCAAAAGACAAAAGACAAAAGAACCGTTCATCAAAAACCGTCAATTTCTTGTAACATTTCTTTCATCTATAATGTGAAATCTCATTGAATCCCTTTCATTTCCCTTTCTTCTTTCTTTTCCTCAAATGTCTCTCGTATGCAAATTGCCTCACGCATTTCTCTTTCCACAAATGGACGCCTTGAAATGACACTTGGAAGTGAAATGGCCGAATTTCCCCATCCAAAGCTATGACTCATTTTGAAGGGGGGAAAGATAAAAGATCTTTAAAATGGAAACACCTTAATTTTATCTCAATTTTTCACAATTTTAATCCCATTTCAAAAGCTAAAACCCTATAAAAAAAGCGTTTATCGAATTTTGAGCATCTTTTGCTTGCATTTAAGCTAATTTAATGTCATTTAACTTACAAAAAAAATTGATTGACAATCAATTTACAGCTTTCAAATTGATTGACAATCAATTTACAGCTTTCAAATTGAGTGACAATCAATTTACAGCTTTCAAATTTGAGCTAAACATCTTTATCGAGTTCTTTTTTCTTGAAAAGAAAACAAAATAAGATTCTCTGACCTTTTACGAAGCGAAATTGTTGATATTTTTTTTGATTCATTTTGGGGGAGGAGTCAAAATAAAATAGCTCACATTTAAAAAGTGTTTAGAAAATGAAAATTTCGAAATATAAAAGAGAAATCGAATCGCAAATGAAAGAAATGAAAGAAATGAAAGAAATGAAAGAAAAATATCTTACAGATTCGTCAAATCAAAACGCGAATCGATCTCCCCAAATTTCAACTTTATGGGACAACTCTTGGAATATGAGAGAATTTTGAGAGATGACGAGAAGATATTGCCACAAAAGAGCGACTCAACCGCGCCGTCTTTTGCCCAGAAACAAGTAATTTAAGTGCAAAAAGTCGACAGAATAAGAGAAACTAAGAAAGTGAATACCCAAATGTGATCAACGCCTTAAAAAATTACCGATTTTCCAGGACTTCTGCCCAGCAAAAGTGCCAAAGAGTTGCTCGGCGATGTCCCTGTTTTCTTCATTGCCGAGTTCTTTCTCGACTTGTTCATCAACTGAGGAAAGTCTTCCCCCAAATGAACATGGGAAAAGGGGAATGGGACCGGCACAAACCGGTAATCTGGAAAAACTCGGATCACTTGATGGGTCAGCCATTGCATCGAATCTATCAAGGTGAATAAATCATTTGATTCGTGAACTCGAGCCCGAGAATAGGATCTTTGATCTTTATTCTTTATTCAACTTTAAACTGAATTTTGTTTAGACCAGTTGCTCTCGGATTGAAGAGTCGAAAGCCGGTCGTGATTCCAGCACCGTTGGGTGAAGAGCTTCCGTCGCCATCTAGTGAACTCTCGAAATTGAGTTTCTCTGGCGGCCTTCCACATGTTCCGTCAATTGCAAATCCATGCTTTATCACTGAGAACAATGTGCAGCCAATGGTTCGTTGAATTTTGGAACACTTTCGATAAAAAACTATCAAACTTTTCAAGTTACAACTTTTTCAATCCCTTTACTTTGTAACTTCTCAATCCCTTTACTTCACAACTTTTCAATTCCTTTACTCTCCAACTTTTCATTTCCAGGCTCCATCGATGACGAGTTGTGGGAGTGTCGAGAATCCGATTTTCGGCAAAATGGTTCCCTCGATTCCCCCAAAAATGGGAACATGTCGATCATTGGCCTCAAACAAACCATTTGTGCCACAAAAGGAAATCGAAATTCATTCTCGATCTACTGATTTCGATCGATCTTTCCATTCAGCTTCATCTCCACCAAAAAGCCAGCCAATGCAAATTCCACAAGAATCTAAAAAAGAAATCAAAGAGAGTCCAAGGAGTCGCTTCCCTTTGAATTTTTTTGCTTTATTTAGAAAGGTTAGTTAGTATTCTAAAAAGAATATTATAATACTCTAAAAGAATATTATAATACTCTAAAAGAGTATTATAATACTCTAAAAGAGTATTATAATACTCTAAAAGAATATTATAACATAAAATACATGAATATTTAGCCGGATCACAGCTCCGAGAAAATCGCGAGATCACAAACGGCATCAGCTGGCTTATCAACATATGCAAGTCGACCTGACAATTTGGCTGAAGCTGGAGTGGTCAGGGAAAAGGTTTTTATTCTTTTGTTAATTGTTAAATGAATTGTTTTATCAATATTATTAGCAGCTCTTAAACAAAACAAAAGCAGCTCTTTCAGGAAGCGCATTCTCCGCCAGGAACATCAAAAACGAGTGACTTAACGGAGACAAACTCACCCGAATCGGGGTTTCAAGAGGGCTATAAAACATCACCGGAAGATCGAGATCCCGATCGGACAAGCATTGGATCAACGTCTTCACATGAAATCGCTGTGCAATGAGAGAATACGGAAATTTGTTTGTGTTGTAAAAAGGAGATTTGATTTTTCGCTCTTCTTTCAACTCACCTCTTGCACCACCTATTGCACTCAAACTCTCACTTTTGTCTGCAAGAATTTTTGGTATACTTTAAGCTGTAATGAATGCGAGTTTTCTCACAATCAAGTGTGCCAGAAAATGAGCGTTTATGAAAGGTCAAAGACTAAAACAAATGTTGATCATCCTTTTCATCACTCAACACATTTTCCAGAGCTATTCAAGATATCTTTATCTCCAAAAAAAAAAAAATCCCCCAAATCATTCTCATTTTCTGGCTACAAAAAAAAAAAGAAAATCTTCGAGCAATTCTTAAATATTATTTCAAAACTGTGATATTCAATCAATCATCTAACTCTATTTTTACAATTTTGGGAATGGGACAAATGCGAGCTTTTTTTTTTGCGCACCCGGACATTTGTGCACCTTTTTTTGCGCACCTTGCCCATTAGCACCTTTCCGCACCCTGCCCCTTTTTTCGCGTTTTAAAAAAAGCTCTAAAAAGGTCTAAAAAGCTAATATTAGCCAATTTATAATAAATAATAATAATACTTTATTCAAACGATAAAGTGAAAGGAATCATAGAGAAATGCACAGTGATACTTAATCATACAATACATACTGAAATCAATAAGCCAATTACTTACGGCAAAGAGCCACTAGATCTAAAGCATCGATACGTTTCTTGAATATGAAAAGCGACTGAATTTCTCGTATGTCGTTTGGGAGCAAGTTCCATAATCTAGCGGCTCTAACGGGAAATGAATTTGATAAAGAGGCATTGGAAGCAAAGGGAATTCCAAATTCTATTCCAAATATTGTTTTTCTGGGTAATTTGAGGGTGTCGAATTCAAATTTTGACATATCATCAAAGAGAAAAATCGACAATTTGAAATTTCTGTAATTTGATCTAGCCGTTTTGTCTTTCAAATTGGTTCCACAAGCTCTGATATGTCAAAATTTCGATTCTACGCCCTAAAATTACCTAGAAAAACAACTTTTGGAATAGAAATTGGTTAATATTAGCTTTTTAGAGCTTTTTAGAGCTTTTTAGAGCTTTTTAGAGCTTTTTAGAGCTTTTTAAAACGCGAAAAAAGGTGCGCTAATGGGCAAGGTGCGCAAAAAAAGGTGCGTAAATGTCCGGGTGCGGAAAAAAAAGCTCGCATTTGTCCCATTCCCAAAATTTTCATTCATTTTTATTCTTTTCTTTTTGACTTTTGCGGGTTTATTCCCACAAAAAAAAATAATGTGGATCGATTACCGTAATCCCAATTTGTGTCTGAGTATTTCCATGTTGAATTTCCCGTTTTCTTAAAGGCATTTCTGTCATTTTCTTTTTCTATTAGATTTCTATGTGTTTACGGGTTTTTTTTTTTCTTTTGAATATCTTGATTTTCCCTTTTTTTTCGTTTTTTCGTTTTTCGTTTTTCTCTTTTCGCGGCCATACAAAATTTCCCCCAATTTTTACCCCTTTTTACCCCTTTTTTTTGATTACCGTATTTGTTCGAATAGAAGACCGGGTAAAGAGTATGATCGCGTACTCCTGCGTAGCAGCCCTTTTTAGAATTTCTTTTCTGCATAAAAGCTTTCAATGAAGTGCTATAGAGCTGGAAAATGGCTCAAAAATCTGTTAGCTCATGTCGTATTTTTGAGTCATTTTCCAGCCCTATAGCACTTGATTGAAAGCTTTTATGCAGAAAAGAAACTTTAAAAAGGGCTGCTACGCAGGAGTACGCGATCATACTCTTTACCCGGTCTTCTATTCGAAGAAATACGGTAAATATTGTTTTTTTTCTTCTTCTTCTTTTTCGTTTTCTTTCTCTTTCTTTTGATTTCTCATTGATTCCACTTATTGATATGTTTCAAATGTTGATAAAAATTTTTTCGAAAGAAATTTCCCAAAATCAATCACAATTTGCTTTTCTCATTCTCATTCGCATTTCCATAAACGATTTTTGGTCCCTCATCGATCACAGAAACAAAGAGCTTTTGACAAAATTGGGTAAACGATTCTGAAACGATTCTGATTCTTTTAAAATAGAAACTAAACTTCAAATTACCATCAATTTTTCTCAAAAAACTCCAATCATAATTTGGCCAAATGACGAGAAAATAGGCGAAAAGGAAGACTGAAAAAAAGTCAATATTTTCAAAAAGTCAATACAATGAAGAGTTTATAAGAAATTTTTTCGTTACACTTTGTGTAAAAAGCATCCTTTCTGGCACACTGATTGACTATGAGAAGGTGACATAATAAGCAACTGTGAGGACATTAAGGTAGCATAATAAGCAAGCTTTTGCTACGAGAGAAATGGGGATTTCAGTGCACCAGAAAGCTTGAGTTTTTAGAATTTTTTCTGGAGAACCCAACGTACGCCAGCATCGACTTGAGAAAATTTGATTGTATAAGAAAGAGGTACACTTTTAAACTATCAATTGCAAGTATACAAGTAAAATGTGTTTTTTTTTTCAAATTTCTCACAAACCAATCAACATTCCGACTCCAACACCCGTTGCAAGAAGATCCTGAAATGCGGGCACAGCGACGAGAGCAATCGAGATCACAAAAACAAGGACTGGGATGAAAATTGGAAGCTGAAATTTCGTGTATATGAAAGAGTAGTGTCTGTATTTGTCTGTCCGTCCGTCTGTCCGTCCGTCTGTCTGCCTGTCTGTCTGTCCGTCCGTCTGTCTGCCTGTCTGTCTGTCCGTCCGTCTGTCTGTCTGTCCGTCCGTCTGTCTGCCTGTCTGTCTGTCTGTCTGTCTGTCCGTCCGTCTGTCTGTCTGTCTGTACAGGTATTTTCTCGACCGCTTTTTGACCAATAAAGCTAAAAGTTCTTTAGAAATATATTGTAGCTGTGGCGTTTTAAAAATGATTTCTTAAAAAAAAATTTGGGTGTAACACCCGGGACTCGAACCCGGGCCATGTGGGTTCTAGACGAGCGTGCTCCCGACTACACCATGGCGACAAATCACGGGGCCAGAAAAAGGCGCTCTTAGGTGGGTTTTTCGGCAGGTGTCAGATGAAATCTGTATCACCCGCCAAAACACAAAAAACCCTTTTAACGGCGGGTTTTTGTGGATAAATGTTTTTGGGAAACGCGTAGACGCTGTGGCGCAGTGGGGAGCATGGTTGTCTACAAACCGTATCGCCCGGGTTCGACCCCCGTCATGCCGCTCTTCATTTTTTAATTTTCTATTACAAATGGCACAACTAGATTAGATTTTGAGTCTTTTAAACAAATTTCAGTTTTTTTTCGCCCAAAGCCAGCTGAGGAAAAGTTCGTACAGACGGACACTGCTCTTTTATATAGTAGTTAATATTTGACGAACACGAAGCGCCGAGCTGCTGACGGGGATTTTCTTCAATCGAATGTAAATGAGTGCCGCGACAGTGACTGCTTGACGGAGCATCCCTTAAAAGTAAAATCGATTTTTTTTTTTGAAGTGCATTAGTTCTGTATTAATACACGAATTCAAGATTCAATATACCCGTAACAAATAAATAATTCATCAACGTGTCAATGGGGCCGATAAAGGAGAAAATGATTGCGGCAAAAACCTGCAAAAGAATTGCACATAAAGAAAAACAAATTCCACCAATTAACCTACCGTAAATACTGTAATAGCACCCCACCCCCCTCGTACAGTCGCGTAGTCGCAAAAGTTTTTTAGTATTTCATTTTTTCAAAGCGCCCGTACCTTCAAAAATGTGTCTTTGGTATCAAAAAAATAGCTGAAATTCAGGGCTATTTTTTGATACCTAAGCGCGCAATATAGCATAAACCAGTGTCGAGAAAAACTCGTTCAAAGCTCGACTACGCAACACTCCGCTCCGTCATTATGGACGTGGGGTACTATTACAGTATTTACGGTAGGTAAGATTATGATATAGTCGAACCTCGATAGTGAATTTGGAGAGTGATTTTGGAGACTCACGAAAAAAACACTTACCATAAACACTTTAATAGCACCCCACCGCCCTCGTACAGTCGCGTAGTCGCAAAAGTTTTTTTAGTATTTCATTTTTTTCCAAGCGCCCGTACTTTCAAAAAATGTGTCTTTGGTATGAAAAAATAGCTGAAATTCAGGGCTATTTTTTGATACCTAAGCGCGCATTATAGCATAAACCAGTGTCGAGAAAAACTCGTTCAAAGCTAGACTACGTAACACTCCGCACCGTCATTATGCGGGTGTGGTACTATTACAGTATTTACGGTATGATTTTCTCTAAATAAAAAGTGTTTATTTGCTCGAATTTCTCAGTTTCAATTTCTTTTTAAATCAATTTGGGTTCACTTCGAGAGTGAAAACACGTGTTTTATGTACGTAAAAATCTATAAAAACCTCTAAATGGCTTAATGAATTTCTCTGAAAATTTAACTACATACCAAACTTTTTATGCTCTTTATTCTTTTACCTATCAACATCAAAATCGATTTCCTTAGCTCGAAGTGTCTAAATCGAGCCTACTCTTTGACTACCCGATTACTACAAGGACTCATAAGTCAGTCAGACAAAATCCAGACATAAGTCATTTGAAAGCCTTTCCCTTGCCTTTTGTAGTTCAATTGGTTCATTTAGTTTTAAACAAAAAGTACGAAAATAAATGAAAAGACTTCCTGGATAGCTTAAAATATCAAATTTCATACATGAAAGAGTATTCCCGTTCTCGGCGATTCATTCTCGATATGAATGAGTGAAAGGAAACGAGGCATCATTCCAGCTCGAGCACCGGACACGATAAATCTTCAAAATTGTATGATTGTTAAAGGAATGTTAAAGAAAAAAAAAGGGCAAACTAATAGTAAGTCTAACAAAAAGTCTAACATAATCAAACAATGATTTGCAATAATGTAAATCATTGTTTGATTAAAGAAGAGTTCAAAAAGCATCTAACAACAAGGATTTTCTAATTTAACCTTATAAGCCAGGCTAGAGACCAAGTTCAAACTAGAATATCTAGCGGGTTTAGGGACTCTTTTTTGAGTATCTTTTATTTCAATCGATGAATATTTAATCATAAAATCTAATTTTATATTGTTAGTAAGATCTAGCAGTATATTTACCAATAAATTTCCCCTACTTCCCGATTTTTGCCCACCAACAAGTCAACAAGCAAATTGATCTTTAACATCTTACTTTGTCATTGAATTTTAACATACCGTATTTTCTTTAATAGTAGTGCACCCAAGCGAACCGAGTTGGTGACTAATTTAAAGTTTCCAAGCTTTTGCAGAAGCTCAACACTCAAATCCCCCACTAGATCTGGTTGTCAGCTACATTTTCCGATCCCACATCGATAGGTTCTGATAAGCGGTTCTCGAGATTTCGAGGAATTTAGGCGCAGCTTTGGGTACACTACTATTAGAGAGAATACGGTATATTATTCCAGGTTATGCTAGTAGATCAGACTGATCTATTTCCCTAATATTTCCGGGTGAGCCGAGTTGATGCCTATTTTACAGTTTCCAAGCTTTTGCAGAAGCTCAACCCTCTAATCCCCCACTAGATCTCATCGTCAGCTACATTTTCCCACCCCACATCGATAGGTTCTGATAAGCGGTTCTCGAGATTTCGAGCAATTTAGGCGACGCTGTGTGTCTACTAGGTGCACTACGATTAGAGAAAATACGGTAATTGTTCATTGAAATTTTTAATGGCTTTTCCTTTTGCTTTCTATCCCAGTTTTGAAATAATTTTGAATAGATTTTGAATAGATTTAAGCTAGAATTAATGAATTTTTCGATCTAATAAATCCTAATAAAGTTATTTATCTAATAAATCCAATAAATCTAATAATCTAACAATCTAATAAATTCTAATAAAGTTATTTATGCGATTTTCCCGGGCGGACAATCATATGGAAATACCCAATTTTCAAATCAAAAGCTTTATCTTTGCCCACCGACTCCACGAGAAAATATCGGAATTGATTGTTCCAATCATCAAAATCGCGACGATTGCCTAATATTGACAATTTTATTGGCTGAAAATTCGATATGGCCATTATAGGCTACAGAAATGACGAACTATCACACTATAAACGCTTTTAACTTGCTTCAAATCTACGCTATTCATATGATCTATAGCTCAAAAAATAGAGGATCTCAAGAGCTTTCGATTCGACTAAAGCACACCAAAAAATATGAATGCTAAAGAAAGTTACAGTGATTTGTAGTCAGGACTCGAAATGAACCATACTCGCGCGTAGTCGGGCTAAAAACCATTGAAACTTTCTTTAGCATTCTATTGAACCATTGAAACTATTTTTTGGTGTGCTTTAGTCCAATCGAAAGCTCTTTAGATTCTCTATTTTTTGAGCTATAGATCATATGAATCGCGCAGATTTGAAGCAATTTTGAAAGCGTTTTGTATTGCTCATGTCCACTGAAAATTGACTCAAATCTCAAATGAAACAAACCGGCATTGCATAGTAGAAATTGCCTAATGTTTTTTTGCTGAATGTCTAAATTTTGAATCTTTTATGCCTTTTAATTTTACTTTACGGTGGCCACAGCATTCGAATCCAAAATCTCATCGGGAAGAAGCACGGCGAAATAAGCGATATTCGCCAAAATGTATACAATTGTTGCAATCGTCAAGCCGCCAATCACCGCCATTGGCATGATTCTGAAAAATGCGCCAGATTTGATGTGTTTACGAGTTTTAAGCGTGCAAAGAACTTTCCCTAAGTTGTTTTAGAAAATCGTTTGTTTCAGAAATTTGACTAATGCACAAAAATGCATAAAAAATTGTTTTCTCAGCTTTAACAACTATCGAAATTCATTCTCGCAGCTCTCTAGATGACAAACTTTTTCAATTTCTTTGGATCAACATCCTCAGTTCCATAATTCAACGTGTCATACCCGGCGTAGGCCCAAATTCCCGAATAGATCGCCAAAACGATTTCTCCTTAAAGAAATTTAGGAGATTTTGAACAAGTGGATACATTCGAAAAAGAAATTGCAATTGTAATTGCTTTGTAAGTACTAAAAAGATGCATTTTAAGCACTTACAGTACTGGACAATGAAATATGATATTTGAAAAACGATCGTCACTTTCGCGCGTCTGTAACTCCCCTTGTCTTTAAGTTTAAAACTATTAGTGTTATACATTTTTTGAAAGCTCTTTTCAATGGCTACACAATGGTAATATTAATATTTAGAAATACGGTAAAGACAAGGGAGTTACAGACGCGCGAAAGTGACGATCTTTTTTCAAATATAAAATAAATAAAAATAAAATAAAAATAAAATAAAAATAAAATAAAAATAAAATAAAAATAGAATAAAAATAGAATAAAAATAGAATAAAAATAAAATAAAAAGTCGCAAAGATATTCAGAAAAGCGCAGAAAAGCGCAGCAATGCGCAGCAAAGCGCATTGCATTAAAATTAAAATAATTAAAATCCCACAATTGCAAGAAGTTTCCGATTTCTTGAGAAGTTTGTTTAGAAAACAATCTACAGTACTGGACAATGAAATATGATATTTGAAAAACGATCGTCACTTTCGCGCGTCTGTAACTCCCTTGTCTTTAAGTTTAAAACTATTAGTGTTATACATTTTCTGAAAGCTCTTTTCAAGGGCTACACAATGGTAATATTAATATTTAGAAATACCGTATTTTTTGACGCATTTCAGCGCGCGCAAAAGTGGAGATCGTTTTTCAAATATGATATTTCATTGTCCAGTACTGTACAAATGTAAATATTTTCAAAATTTACCCGGTTTACTTTGCGTATTCTTCCAGACTTTCGATGACTCGAAACTGTCCGATTTCCCTGTGTGAGTTGCATTTAAATTATCCGAAAATTATCCGAAAAACCAAAAATTGTCTTGTTTACCTTTAAAGAATAGAAAATAAAACCCAGTGACAATGATGATCGAAACGGAAAATAATTTGGCGATTGTGATTCCAATTTGAATTTTCGATGCCCATCGTTTAAGAGAGAAGAAATTCGCCCACATCAAAATCCCTAGAAATTCGCTTTTCCATCAAAAACCCGAGTTAAACTACCGTAAATACTGTAAGAGCACCCCACCCCCGTCGTACAGTCGCGTAGTCGCAAAAGCTTTTTTAGTATTTCATTTTTTTCAAAGCGCCCGTACCTTCAAAAATGTGTCTTTGGTATCAAAAAAATAGCTGAAATTCAGGGCTATCTTTTGATACCTAAGCGCGCATTGTAGCATAAACCGGTGTCAAGAAAAACTCGTTCAAAGCTAGACTACGTAACACTCCGCTCCGTCATTATGGGGGTGGGGTACTATTACAGGATTTAGTCTAAAATGTATGTGGTACGTCTAAAATGCAATAAGTCTACTTCAAAAAAACCCTTCTATAAAATGCGTGAATTCGTGTCTAGAAAAACCGACATAACAATGCAAAGCCAAAAAGTTGCTCTAAACGATGTCGTTTCGTTGATGAGAGATCAAGATTTAGTGGATCAAGAGCCTCAACCATGTATTCACCAAATGTATAGAATAAAATCGCACAACTGCATGATCTGAATAGAGGAATTAACTTTAGATTAACTTTAGATTAACTTTAGATTAACTTTAGATTAACTTTCCATTAACTTTAGATTAACTTTAGATTAACTTTAGATTAACTTTAGATTAACTTTACATTAACTTTACATTAACTTTAGATTAACTTTACATTAACTTTCCATTAAATTTCCATTAACTTTACATTAACTTTCCATTAACTTTACATTAACTTTCCATTAAATTTCCATTAACTTTACATTAACTTTCCATTAACTTTACATTAACTTTCCATTAACTTTACATTAACTTTCCATTAACTTTACATTAACTTTCCATTAACTTTACATTAACTTTACATTACATTAACTTTTTACATTTCAAAAAGCAAAAAAAAAACTCAACGCTTCCACCAAATTCGAAAGCCACAAAAAAGCAAAAGCAAGGGGTTTCCATTTCACGAAATTTATGTACGCAAAATCGGAGCCCGATTCGGGAATCGAAGTGGCCAATTCGACGAAAACCTGTAAAATGAATTGCAGTGATTGAAGTGATGAATAGAGTTAAGGATTTTGGAAAAGCACAACTACTTTAACCTTTAACTTTTATAAGCATAGAGCGTCCCACAATTATGGTGACACGCATTTTACTCTCATTCTCTCATCGCTTGAATCTTCTAACTATAGAACCACGGGGGTTTTTTGATGTTTATTTAAAGCCTCTTAATTTTCAAATAGAAAATAATACAGTAAAATAAATTTCTTCTCACTCTTACCAATTTTAAAGCTAATTGTTTTTGATTTGTGCATTTACAAGGTGTCCCACAATTATGGTGACGCGCATCTTGCTACGTTTAACTGCTTTCGGTCTTTCTTTTTCTTTTCTTATTATTAATTCGATGATTTTATTGTTTTTCAGGCATAATATCTAAGAAAAACATGCGTCAAGCCATTATTACTCTTCATCAGCAAGGAGAAACACTGCAAGGAAAGACAGAATGCTTTTCGCGCTCTGAAGCGTTTCAAAGAAACGGGCTTCAATGAAGATCGTAAAGAATGAGGTCCACCAAAGACTGCCAACAATTCAACAAATCGTCAAAAAATTTTTGATCGATTTAAAAGGAACCCTAAACTCCTCAAATAATTCTGTTCGAAAAATGGCCAAGTCTGTTGGTATTGGAAAAAGTTCGGTTCATCGAATCCTCAAAACAACCGGAACGAAAGCCAGAAAAGGGATAAAAGAACATTTTTGAGAGATTCAATGAAGAAAAACGTTTGAAACGTTGCAACTAAGATAGACTTTTGATTTGATTTTTGATATTTTGTCACCATAATTGTGGGACACCCTGTAGTACTGGAGAATATCTAGTTCTTGTTCTTGTTCTTGTTCTTGTTCTTGTTCTTGTTCTTGTTCTTGTTCTTGTTCTTTTTCTTGTTCTTGTTCTTGTTCTTGTTCTTGTTCTTGTTCTTGTTCTTGTTCTTGTTCTTGTTCTTGTTCTTGTTCTTGTTCTTGTTCTTGTTCTTGTTCTTGTTCTTGTTCTTTTCTTTTTCTTGTTCTTGTTCTTTTTCTTGTTCTTGTTCTTGTTCTTGTTCTTGTGCTTGTGCTTGTGCTTGTTCTTGTTCTTGTTCTTGTTCTTTTTCTTGTTCTTGTTTAATGATAAGAAAGTCTTCACTATTTACTAGTTTTTAAATCTACGGAATATTAAAAACGTAAGAATCATACTTCAGTTTTGATTTTTTTAAAGAAAACCCAGTCAATCACATTTCAGTTTTGATTCTTTAAAGAAAACTTAACGAAAGTTTGTGAAAAACTTGATGTAAGTGAACTTTTCATGGGAATTTCTAGACAAACATCAACCCGAAAGGAATGATTTTTTAAAAAAAAGTTACTCAAACTTGTTAATCTATCTATCTGTTGAATATGTTTGTTTCTTTTTTTTACAGAAGAAAATTGGAGTAAACTCGGCTAGATTGGGGCGATCATTTACACGGCAGGTGAGTGCATTGAATGATTAAAAAGTAGCGAAAGCTTGCTCACAATTTACATCCCGTAAATTATCAGCTTTAGAGTGTAATGTGTTAGAGCGTTCAAAGCTAGACTACGCAACACTCCGCACCGTCATTATCGGGGTGGGGTACTATTACAGGATTTACGGTAGGCATATTGAATGTTGAATATTGAATATTGAATAAATATTGAACTATATATATTGAATATTGAAATATTGAACACCATTTACTTTTTCCGTTCTCATCTAATCGCTAACTCGATTTTCGTTAAACAAACCAATCCGGAAAGCATTGCAATCACAGCAGATCCAACCCAAATTGCCAATGAGAGACCAATCGAGCCGGCATGTGTGAGGATTCCCTTTGGAGAGACAAAAATACCCGAACCGATTATCGTGCCTGTATTGGATAAGATATAATTGTATTGGGTTGTCCAGTTATGAATGCGCGTTTTTTACTATTCTGTAAATTTCTCAAGATACCGAAATGAAGAAAAAGTATATATATGAGTATTATTCGAAAGCTGAAGATCTCCTCTACATTTTGATATAAAAAGCTTTTGAATTTGTCGAGCTTTTGGGCAAATTGACTGCACAGAAGAAGAGGTGGCCAAAAAATGGAAGAGTGCCTTTGGATCAAGTTTTGGCTCCGCTCAAATTGAGTTAACCGTTTGATGTTTGGCCAATAGATATATCAATACAAGTTTTTTTTTAAAAATATAACAATTTTAGAGCATCTTTACTTTTCTGGGCGCTTATTTTCCACCATAAAACTTGAGGAATAGCTAAGCTGGAATAGCTAAGCTGGAATAGCTAAGCTGGAATAGCTAAGCTGGAATAGCTAAGCTGGAATAGCTAAGCTGGAATAGCTAAGCTGGAATAGCTAAGCTGGAATAGCTAAGCTGGAATAGCTAAGCTGGAATGGGTTTTTTTCGAAAACGACCTCTCCCTTTGTGCAATCAATTTGCCCAAAAGCTGAACAAATTCCAAAGCTTTTTATATCAAAATGTAGAGGAGATGTTCAGCTTTCGAATGATATATAACACTCATATACATCTGTTCGATATCTTGAGAAATTTACAAAATAGTAAAAAACGCGCATTCATAACTGGAAAACCCAATACTTTACACTTCTCACTTTACACTTTAAACTCTAAAGCTGATAATTTACGGGATGTAAATTGTGAGCAAGCTTTCGCTACTTTTCAATCATACAATGCACTCACCTGCCGTGTAACTGATCGCTCCAATGTAGCCGATTTTATTCCCATTTTCTTCTGTCATAGCATCAAAATTTGAAAGGATTGCTAGCTTCTAAAATCGTCATTTCTTTTGCAGAAATTCCCGTGTAATCCAGAATTTATTGGAATGAAAATGGAACTGATAACAAAGAAATGCACAAAGAAACAAGAATCAAGCGAATCAATCGAAAAATTTCAAATTTTAATTTGTAATTTTCAAATTTCAATGTAAACCTTAATACTTTTCAAAGAAATCACACCATTTTTCTCTTTATTTATATTAGAAATTGCTCATTCGTTGATCGTTCTTTGTCTTGTTCAATGCCTTTATTTGATTAGAACTCAAAAAAAGGACTTCTGTTCAAAAAATCTGTTCAAAAACGATTTTATTCTCTTCGAAAGCTCAATTCGTACCGAATATCAGCGCAAATTTAAAGAATAAACGAAAAAAAAACTAAACTTAAACGAGGATCTCATTGAATTGAAGACGAACAAAAGTCTAAAGAAGTCTAAAGAAGCTCAGCTCACATTTGAGTATCACATTTTAGATGAAAGGAGGGGGAGATGATGATGTGCAGAAACACTGATGAAAAATTGAACTAAAATGAAAGAGCTAAAAGAATTGACTAAATGAAAGACACAAAATGAGAATGACGAAAGGAAAAGATAGAATCGACAATGAAATATCGGATGAATCGGCATCACGACGAATGATCGTCCCGGTACAAGCGTCCGGGATTGTGTATTGTCTGAAATGGGGTAGATCGATAGAGTGATTGGGGAGTCCTACAGAGAACTTACCTAATGTCAGACTTACAGTACTCCTTACCTAATGTCAGTCTTACAGCACACATAACTCCCAACTCTAGAGTAGACATGGACACTATAAACTACAAGACTAGACTACAGACGCTTGTAGAAACGCGTAGAGGTGATGGATCAGGCCGATCTTGGTGCCATTCAAAAGCCCAAAGTTAGCTCGATTTTTTGGTAAAAACAGCTTGTAAAAATAGCCATTCTACGCGTTTCTACAAGCGTTTGTAGTCTGACCCTGTAGTTTGTAGCGTCAATGTCTAGTCTAGAGTGTGCTCCTCGTGTGTAATGTGCTTCCGAAAAGGTGGGCAGTTTGGGGAAAGCTACCGTAATCTTTCTTTCATAGTTTATCCACTCAACATACCGTTGAGAACTGAACTAATGGAACTAATGGAATTGAGCTAACTGAACTGAGGCTTAGTTCTAAATAGAGTTGAGCCTCTGCTCTTTGCCTCAGTTCTTTGACTCAGTTCTTTGGCTTAGTCCTTTGGCTCAGTTCTTTGGCTCAGTTCTTTGCCTCAGCTCTAAAAAAAGGCCAAAGAGTTACGGAAGGTTTTCCAAACTATCCACCTTTCAGTAAACGTTAGCACTGGCTTGTGCCTGCCTTGTTCCCCAATGCTCACCTCGAGAATTTCAATCTCACCATTTTAAACATGGCCTCTTTGTTTGCCTCGAACATTTTCTCGGTTAGCTGAATGTTTGATGAATTTCCAACAAATTTCCAACAAATATAAAACCTTTAACGATGAATGACCACAAAAACGGCCATAAGCCTCGATAAAACAATTCGAGAATTCGTCGAAATTACTGAAATTTCGGAGATTTGAAGATTTCGGAGATTTCAAGATTTCGGAGATTTCAAGATTTCCGATTTCTACCTGCAAACTCTCGGCAATGAGCTCATTGAGACATTTCGAGCAAAGAATTCCATACTGTTTCTGGAAAAAGGTTTTTCATATAAAATTTCGACTAGCTTTATCGCAGAAAGAATTCGATTCTATTCGATTCTATTCGATTCGATTCGATTCGATTCGATTCGATTCGATTCGATTCGATTTGATTCGATTCGATTCTATTTGATTCTATTTGATTTGATTCGATTCGATTCGATTCTATTTGATTCGATTCGATTCGATTCGATTCGATTCGATTCTATTTGATTCGATTTGATTCGATTCGATTTGATTCGATTCGATTCGATTCGATTCGATTCGATTCGATTCGATTCGATTCGATTCGATTCTATTTGATTCGATTTGATTCGATTCGATTTGATTCGATTCGATTCGATTCGATTCGATTCGATTCGATTCGATTCGATTCGATTCGATTCTATTTGATTCGATTCGATTCGATTCGATTCGATTCGATTCTATTTGATTCGATTCGATTCGATTCGATTCGATTCGATTCTATTTGATTCGATTCGATTCGATTTGATTCGATTCGATTCTATTTGATTCTATTTGATTTGATTCGATTCGATTCGATTCGATTCGATTCTATTTGATTCGATTCGATTCGATTCGATTCGATTCGATTCTATTTGATTCGATTCGATTCGATTTGATTCGATTCGATTCTATTTGATTCTATTTGATTTGATTCGATTCGATTCGATTCGATTCGATTCGATTCGATTCGATTCGATTCGATTCTATTTGATTCGATTCGATTCGATTCGATTCGATTCGATTCTATTTGATTCGATTCGATTCGATTCGATTCGATTCGATTCTATTTGATTCGATTTGATTCGATTCGATTCTATTTGATTCTATTTGATTTGATTCGATTCGATTCGATTCGATTCTATTTGATTCTATTTGATTTGATTCGATTCGATTTGATTCGATTCGATTCGATTCTATTTGATTCGATTTGATTCGATTCGATTTGATTCGATTCGATTCGATTCGATTCGATTCGATTCGATTCGATTCGATTCGATTCTATTTGATTCGATTTGATTCGATTCGATTTGATTCGATTCGATTCGATTCGATTCGATTCGATTCGATTCGATTCGATTCGATTCGATTCTATTTGATTCGATTCGATTCGATTCGATTCGATTCGATTCTATTTGATTCGATTCGGATTCGATTCGATTCGATTCTATTTGATTCGATTCGATTCGATTTGATTCGATTCGATTCTATTTGATTCTATTTGATTTGATTCGATTCGATTCGATTCGATTCGATTCTATTTGATTCGATTCGATTCGATTCGATTCGATTCGATTCTATTTGATTCGATTCGATTCGATTTGATTCGATTCGATTCTATTTGATTCTATTTGATTTGATTCGATTCGATTCGATTCGATTCGATTCGATTCGATTCGATTCGATTCTATTTGATTCGATTCGATTCGATTCGATTCGATTCGATTCTATTTGATTCGATTCGATTCGATTCGATTCGATTCGATTCTATTTGATTCGATTTGATTCGATTCGATTCTATTTGATTCTATTTGATTTGATTCGATTCGATTCGATTCGATTCTATTTGATTCTATTTGATTTGATTCGATTCGATTTGATTCGATTTGATTCGATTCGATTCTATTTGATTCTATTTGATTTGATTCGATTCGATTCGATTCGATTCGATTCGATTCGATTCGATTCGATTCGATTCGATTCTATTTGATTCGATTCGATTCGATTCGATTCGATTCGATTCGATTCTATTTGATTCGATTCGATTCGATTCGATTCGATTCTATTTGATTCTATTCGATTCTATTCGATTCGATTCGATTCGATTCGATTCGATTCGATTTGATTCGATTCGATTCGATTCGATTCGATTTGATTCGATTCGATTCTATTTGATTCTATTTGATTTGATTCGTTTCGTTTCTGTCAATCATCTCGTTTACCGTAATCTTGTCGTATGTGAACTGCACGAATCAGTGATCACATAGCCTTGCTTCTTCCAACACGGCAATTCATCTCGAATCTCTGGAAAATTGAGTTTTAAAAACAATGCGATTGTTGGAAATTGTTATAAATTGCATATCAAATACATTTGTTTTTTTGATCATTTTTTTTTTGGTCATTTTTTTTGATCATTTTTATGAAACCTTCAAGTCCTTGACATGTTTTATCCCATGCTCTCAATCCCAATCGAATAATCTCAATCTCCATCGATCCATTGCACGCATTTAAACATGATTCCAATAAACGATTGCTACTAAAATTTTAGCACGATTGCTACTAAAGATTTACTATTTAATTTTGATTTGAATTTTGATTTGAATTAATTCTTGTCCAACTTCTTTTCTTAAGTTTTCCCCTCAATAGTTATTGTTTTCAATAGTTATTCCTCAAGAAAACTTCACAACTTTCCATTTTTCCGGTAAAAAGTATCTTAGACGAATGGGATTTATTTATGGAAAAGGTTTGACAAAATGTTTGGAAAGAAAAGAAGAGAAAAGAAGAGAAAATATGAAGAAGAAAGATATATTCGAATGATTCAATTTGTCTCCACAAGATCTCCTCAAGAATTGCGAAGAAGTGAGTATTTTGAGGGGAAAAGGAATGAGCAAACACCTGTTGAATGTATCTAAATAGAAGATAAAAAAAACCAAAAAGTTTAAAAAGACAAAAAGTTTAAAAAGACAATAAGTTTAAAAACATTTATAAAAGAAACCTTTTGTTTTACATTCTCTTTATTTATCTCTATTCAATTTCTCTTTTATACTATTAGGTAAATGCATAAGAAATGCGGATTTGAACATTTCTTATGCGGATTTTCATAAATTTCCAACGATAGAAACCTGATTTTTTTTTTCTTTGTAGAAAATTCGATACGAATAGCTTGGTTTAGGCTTAGAGTTTTGTACGGTTTAGACTTAGAGTACGGTTTTCTTTAGATATCTTACTAATCTATTAGGTAAATGCATAAGAAATGCGGATTTGAATATTTTCATAAATTTCATTTCCAACGATAGAAACCTGATATCGATGAATGTTATCGATGAATGTTATCGATGAATGTTATAAACTATTTGAAAGTTGTAAATCTCCTCTATAAAATAGGCTAGAACGTTTTTCAATTGAGCTTGAAGCATTGAAGAAATTTCGTGGACGAAATGCGAGTGACCAAAAAAGGGCACTTTTTGAAAACCCCACTTTCACAAGAGTTCTGTTTTGACTATATAGTGGAAAATGAGCGCCCGAAAATCATTATCCTAAAAATATCATTCAAAATAATTAAGAGTTGGGATCATTTCATGGGAAAACTTTGTTTTTACAATCATTTTTCTTTTTTTTTTTGACAAAGCCGGTTTTTTTGACAATTTTGAGGGTTTTGAACTTAAGCTCTATCTAAATTTCTGTAAATGCATTTCCGTTTGACTTTTTTAATCAATTCATATATAGTTATCCATTTTTTTTAAAAATCTTCAATTTTGCGAAGCTAACTCTATTTTGACCACACTAAACTTGTCCCTAAAGTAGCTCGATTCCTTTTTTTGGTCACTCGCATTTCGGCCTCGAAATTTCTTCAATGCTTCAAGATCAATTGAAACACGTTTTAGCCTATTTTATAGAGGAGATTTACAACTTTCAAATAGTTTATAACATTCATCGATATCAGGTTTCTATCGTTGGAAATTTATGAAAATGTTCAAATCCACATTTCTTATGCATTTACCTAATAGATTAGTAAGATATCTAAAGAAAACCGTACTCTAAGTCTAAACCGTACAAAACTCTAAGCCTAAACCAAGCTATTCGTATCGAATTTTCTACAAAGAAAAAAAAATCAGGTTTCTATCGTTGGAAATTTATGAAAATGTTCAAATCCACATTTCTTATGCATGTACCTAATAGGCTGATGTAAAAGAAATTTCGCTCGGTATAAAACATTCTATTTTTTTAATCTAGAAAATTTATTTGATTTTCTTTTGTATATTTGTACTCTTGGATATTTACTTTATTTTTACGCTTTTTTTAAGTCAGAGCTTTCACTTTTTAATTGATATTTACTTTAGATCATGGGTGGAGTCGCGTCAGCCATATCTTGCTTCTCAAGTCGAAAAGAAGCCACTTTTTTAGAATATCTTGATGATGGATGAGAAGTGGATTACTGCAGTTTTTAGCTTCAAAATAGATCTAGCTCAACAGATCTAGCTCAACAGATCTTGCTCAACAGATCTAGCTCAACAGATCTTGCTCAACAGATCTTGCTCAACAGATCTAGATCTAGCTCAACAGATCTTGCTCAACAGATCTTGCTCAACAGATCTTGCTCAACAGATCTAGCTCAACAGACTGAAACAACAGATCAACTGAAACAGCAGTTTTACTTCGATAACACTTCTCGAAAAAGACAATGGCTCAGCAAGGATCAAATGCCAATTCCAACTCCAAAGCCGGATTATCATGAGCACAAAGTGATGTTGTCTTGCTGGTGGAATATCAACGAACTTGTTTATTTCGAATTATTAGAGCCCGGAAAAACAGTTGATTCACTTTGTTTTATTCAACAGCTCAAGAAGGTTACGTCAAAAGGGTTTAAATCCCTCGACTGTCAATTTTCTCCGTGACAACATGCCAGCTCACGCAGCGAAAGCTTCTTGTATGGAGTTAGAGGAATCAGGATGGAAGGTCTTATCGCATGCGCCATATAGTCCAGACTTGTCACAATCTGATTTTCACCTCTTCAGATCGATGCAAGATTCCCTTGCAAATTGTCAGTTTAAGAATGCGCAAGAGGTCTAGATTTGGGTGACCGACAACAATAAGCACCATCGTTATCTCTAACATCTCTCCAACGTTGCTTCAGATTACGGATCCCCTTATCGAAGAACTCTTGATTATGTGGTTGAAAGTAGTCGGTCACCCAAATCTAGACCTCTTGCGCATTCTTAAACTGACACTTTCAACCACATAATCAAGAGTTCTTCGATAAGGGGATCCGCAAACTGAAGCAACGTTGGAGAGATGTTGATGGAGAGATGGAGGAATGGAGGGATGGAGATGGAGGGATGGAGGGATGGAGATGGAGAGATAACGATGGTGCTTATTGTTCGGAATAAATTGTTACCTAAAGGAATTTTGATTAAATTTAATGTTTGTAAAAAAAGGGAAATTTCTTTTGCATCAACCTCTTATGCATACAAGTAACATGAAAGTAAGTGGAATCTCTGCCAGAAAGAGCCTCCGATAAGTGTTTTGGGGATCAAATTGCTCGTGTCCGCGTTGCAGAAAAGGAGAGATCCGGTGAAGTGGAAAATGTGGCTCAAAAATGGAAAAACGAAAGTTTTAAATGGCTAGAAATGCAGAAATGAACAAAATTGACAGTTTTAAAACTAAATCTCAAGGAAATCTCGTCACTTGTCAAAGAATCTCAAGGAAAGACTTTCGAGATTTGGAGAAGGATCATTGTAAAAGTTATGAGCTCATTATGAGCCTTTTTTTTGGTTCATTTACCCGGATTATTTGATGAAAATTGATAGAAATATAGAAAACAAATGAACTCACTGACAAATCTCTCTTGCTTTCAAATAAGCAGCCGTTTCATTTCCCGTCGATTTCAACAAAGCCATGATTGGAAGAGTGAAATCAAGAGACCATTCATTGTCTTGCTAAAATCGAAATATTAATACCATATTTTATAGCGTTTTATAGTATTTATATACTCTAATAATAGCGCACCCTGATTGTCGTCTAAATTCCTCAAAATCTCGAAAAACGCTTATCAGAACTTATCGATGTGAGGTCGGAAAATGTAGCTGACGATCTAGCGGGGGATTTGAGTGTTGTGCTTCCGCAAAAACTTGTAACCCGTAAAATAGTCATTAACTCGACTCGCCGGGGTGTGATATCAGAGAGAAAATACGGTATTCATCGTAGAAAGCAAATCAAAGCTAATTCATCGTTTTTCTTTTTAGTATTATGCTGTTAGTTGTTGTTACTATTTATTAAAAGCCTAATAGCTACTTTTGATATCGGGTAAACTTGTATGAGTAAATTTGGATTGAACGTTTTCTAGAGGCTCATTTTTGATTGATTACCGTATTTTCTTTAATAATAGCGCACCCTGATTGTCGCCTAAATTCCTCAAAATCTCGAAAAGCGCTTATCAGAACTTATCGATGTGGGGTCGAAGAATGTAGCTGACGATGAGATCTTGTGGGGGATTAAAGTGTTGAGCTTTGGGGAAATTGGAAACCGTAAAATAGGCATCAACTCGGCTCGGTACGGTGCACTACTATTAGAGAAAAGACGGTGACGATGAGATCTAGCGGGGGGCTAAAAGGGTTGAGTTTTTGCAAAAACTTGGAAACTGTAAAATAGTCATCAACCAACAGCTCGCTTGCGTGCACTACTATTAGAGGAAATACGATACACCGATTTTCACACAAATTCAATTCATCGAATTCACACGGATCTAATTTCATTTACCTCTCTCATATGATTATCTTTACATCTCAATAAACAATGATTCGATGTATGAGCGGATGTTTGTGATTGATCTCCATGAACAGAAAAAGGAATTGAAATGAGAAGGAAAATCGATGAAATCTTTAGCATTTCTCTTCATCAAATATTCATCTCTTCATCGAAAATTCCTGTTAAAAATCGGGATATTTTTAAGTCGAAATTTCTATCGCAAAAAAAAGTGATTGTTTTGAGTTGCAGATGACATGAAAAATGAGAGAAAAATGTGAGAAAAAATGAAAAAAAATAAGAAAATAATGTTAAGGAGTGAAATGTTTAAATCAAAAATGCAATTCACAGGAATATTTCAACGCAAAGTTTATCTAAAGAACGATAAAAGTTTTTTTTTTTTCGGGATATGCATTGGAAATTTGGCATTTTGCTTTGTTCGTTTGCCAGCTGATCTTCTGAAAGAAGTTTTTCGATTAAAGCAAAAAGAAGAAAATATGAAAATATGGAAATGATTTTTTTTTTTAGTGAAGGTATATTTTTTAAAAATGAAAACCCAATTTGAGAATCTTTTCAACCAAATTTGAGATCTTAGTAGTGCAAAATGGAGACTAAAAAGAAGTGACAAACGAACGTTATTCAGGAAAAAAAAATGCAGCAAAAATGGACAGCAAAAGAGGATGAGAGTTTTTGGAAAGTGAGTGAAAAAGATGAAACGAGATGTGTCGGAAGAAAAGTGGTTGGGGCGGGATGGGGATTGAGAGGGGTCGTGGGGGAGGGCCAAACCCACAAAAGAGCTTCTTTCCCATCCCTTCTTTACCACTTTTTAAAATCCTAATCATAATTGAACGTTAATAATATCAAAAAAAAAAGTTTCAGCCTCTTGAGTAAGAACTTGAGTAAGAATATTATCAAAAGAACAAAGAAATTGGCTTTCTGGCGCACGCAGATTAGTGCAATCCATTCATTTTCCTCTATCTAAAGCGCGTCAATTACCAAAAGCTACCGTAATTACGAATATTATCATAAGAATATTATCAAAAGAACAAAGAAATTCGCTTTCTGGCGCACGCAGATTAGTGCAATCCATTCATTTTCTAATTTTCATTATCTAAAGCGCGTCAATTACCAAAAGCTACCGTAATTACGGTAGCTTTTGGTAATTGACGCGATTTAGATAGAGGAAAATGAAAGCTATCGAAAAGGCTTTTCATTCAGAAAACCCAATTGATGCCAACACCGAGAAATAAGAACCAAATCCAAAAAGTACTTGTAAAAATTGAGCCGGGGGTCAATGGATTACTCGTTTTTGTTGCAACATCGGGGATCTTAAAGGTTTTGTGTGTGTCAGTCATAGAAAGTCTCTTTCTGCATTCTGTTGCCATTGTTATGAGATCCCCGGGGATTTCTCCCCTTCTCTTTTTCCACTTTTTTTTTCTTTCAACGAAAGGTTCTTCTCTATTTTATGGGGTCCTTTTTATGTAAAATGTTTATGGTGGAAATGAATTGCTTTTTGCTCCTTTTCCTTGAAAAGTGTCACCATGATTTATCTATAGCGGTTCACAAAAAAACAAACGTTTGGAAGATAAGTTTTTCAAAAGTTACTCTGTGAAAATGGTTTCTTTACATAAAATTGATGCATTTGAAATTTAAAATATTGATAAGTTTTCAAAAATCATACTATAGTCGAACCTCGATAGTGAATTTGGAGACTCAAAAACACTTACCCATAAACACTGTAATAGCACCCCACCCCCGTCGTACAGTCGCGTAGTCGCAAAAGTTTTTTTAGTATTTCATTTTTTGCAAAGCGCCCGTACCTTCAAAAAATGGGTCTTAGGTATCAAAAAATAGCTGAAATTCAGGGCCATTTTTTGATACCTAAGCGCGCATTGTAGCATAAACCAGTGTCGAGAAAAACTCGTTCAAAGCTAGACTACGCAACCCTCTGCACCGTCATTATGGGGGTGGGGTACCATTACAGTATTTACGGTAACAAAATATACTAGCAAAAACCTCGATACTAACCGGATTTTTTAAGATCCCTCTGAGTTGATTTAGTACTAATCAAAATTCGATAGTAAACTATTAATTAAAGAAAATAAATTTACATTTTCCTTCTTTAAAAATTCCTTTTCACACATTTTTGCTTTACTCTAAAATATTCAGTCAATCAAATGAAATCTGCTACAAACACAACTTTTTAAAATCTCTTTCCACAATTAACTTGAAGTCGTTGTTGTCTTATTTTAGTTATCCATTTGTTTTTTTAAAAACACAATAGCTATCTTCAAAACAAGCTGCTTAACTACATATTTTGACATCCCATTTCTGCCACTTACGCGTTTTACTTTAATGATCAGCCTTCTGTTCTGTTCTTTTTTCTTCTTTTTCTTTTTCTTCTGTTTCTTTTGCATATCAATAATATTTTTTTATTTAGGTACGATGAAAACGACGATTTCTTTGGAGCGAAAGATAGAAGTGAATCAAGTGAAGTGAAATCAAGTGAAGCTGATGCGAAATCAATCTCTCAATTGGCCGACGTGTTCAAACTCCCCTATGAAACGATTCGAACGATTTTACGAACAAAAGCAAAGATTTTGAAGGGAATCAATGATAGGAAGAAAAAGGAACGAAATCGTCCTCGAGAAGGGAAACACAATCTGATCGAAGAAGCCCTTGTTTATTAGATTCGAGATGCGAGAAGTGAAAATGCACCTCTTAATGGACCGATTTTCAAGGAAAAGGCTCTTGAATTTTCTAGGCTTTTCGATTCTCAAAATTTCAAAGCTTCTAACAAATGGCTGGACAATTTCAAGAAAAGGTACAGCCTTGTTTTTCGGGTGATCAAAGGAGAAAATGCATCGGTGAATCAGCAGGTCGTAGCGAATTGGCGGCGAAACATTCCCATCGATGTTCTCACCGAATACGATCCGAAGGATGTTTTCAATGTCGACGAGACTGGTTTATTCTGGCGAGTGCTTCATGAAAAGACCATCACATTTCGAGGATCCGTGCAAAGTAGGGAAGAAAAGCAAGAAACGAATCACAGTCCTTCTTGGTTGTAACATAGACGGAACCGAGAAGATTCCTCTTCTTGTCATCGGGAAATCAAAGAAGCCACGCTGCTTCAACAAAAAAAGCATCAACTATTCCAGTAAAGTACGAAGCGATGACTGGAGAAATCGTCGAGCGTTTCTTGAAAGATTGGGATCGACGTTCGGGAAAGGGAAAAATTTTGCTTTTGTTGGACAACTGTCCAGCACATCCCCGAGTTTGATTGAACAATATGATATTGCAGTTCTTCATTCCAAATGCAACTTTGATGATTCAGCCATGCGATCAAGGAGTAATTCAGAATTTTAAAGTCCACTACCGCAAGATTTTGCTTCGCCGAAGGATTTTGGCTATTGAAGGCTTTACGTTGCTAATCGCGCCTGGGTAAATGTGAAAAAAGAAACAATTACAAATTGTTTTCGAAGAATCCTTGTTGATGATAACAATACGACAAGAGGAGGAGGATTTTGAAGAAATGAAAGAAAAATGAAACAGCCTAGAAGTTTCCGTTTTTTCTGTTTTTATTGTCATTCCTTGGAAAACCTTGATAATGAACGGTTTTTTCAGAATTTCTTCCATAGTTCAGTAACGAGGTTCGACTGTAGTTAAGATAAATAAGATAAGACATAATAAAAAGAAAAATATTTTAGAATTCCCATAAACAAGGAGATCAAGCGGAACGGGATGACCAAGAATGGGCTAAAAGAAATGGACGAATGGGGGGAGGCAAATGGACATTGAATAAAGGAGTAAAGGGGAGATGGAGAGGACATTTCCTTTTCACTTCATTTTGGAGCTTTGTTTTGGGTTTTAAGATGTAGAAAAGAGTTAGGATTTTGAAAGAAAGAAAATCCGTTTGAATGAACTTGAACTTGTTCTTGTTCACAGAGTGAAGTGTGATCTGTTCATGGAACGCTGTTCATGAAAAACTTTCTTTCATTATCTCTCAGGATTCTCATTTTTTTTCCTGTCCTCCTCTCATTCTCATATCTCCAAATGTGCCCATTAGTCGATTTTTAGGCCAAAAATTTGATGAAAAGGATTTTCCATCAACTCATTCATTTGGGGAACACTGAAAATTTTGTAGGGGAGATGGAATATAGGAATGAAGCTCAAAATACAGATAAAATTTGTTTTATGATACTTAGTATGATAAAAGATAGGGGGGTGGGACAAATGCGACCTTTTTTTGCGCACCTAGACATTTGCGCACCTTTTTTTTGCTGGAAAAGGCCTTAGGAAAGGTCGTAGAGCTTCGAAAATATATCCTTATAAGGGAATCGTATGCGTAGATTCCGAATTTCGACAAATCAGACCTCGCTGACACGTCAAATTTGGGCTAAAAGGCAAAAACTACGCAACTTAACGCTTTTCCGCAGTTTTTGCCTTTTAGCCCAAATTTGACGTGTCAGCGAGGTCTGATTTGTCGAAATTCGGAATCTACGCATACGATTCCCTTATATGGAAATATTTTCGAAGCTCTACAGCCTTGCCTTTTCCAGCAAAAAAAAAGGTGCGCAAATGTCCAGGTGCGCAAAAAAAAGGTCGCATTTGTCCCACCCCCAAAGATAGTGCTTCTTTTAGAATACGATACTCAAAGAATATCAAATTGTATTCTCCAAACCTCTTCAATGCCATTCAAATCAATTTGCTATCACCTTGTTTATGAGCTGAAAAGTGGTGAAATCAGATCGTTTTTTTTTTAATGTGAATGGATTGCGATCGGAATGACCACAACAAAACGACCGGTATTCTGCCAAAAAAAAGAGAATGGTTGCAAAAAGAGATGTCACAGATACAAACAAAAAAAAATCGGCTCACTTGCCAAAATCACGTCCAGTTTTCACATTGAGACACACACCGATTTACATAGAATGAGACGGGGAGAAGGGGAAGCTGTGAATTTTGTGAAGCCACAAAGCTGTCACTAATCCCTCGATCTACTCTACGGAAAGCCTTTCCCATCC